AATTTATATACTTTACAGTGATGTCTTGTTCTACATAACATTCTCTGTTATCCGCAGTGTGTTCTAGAACAGCGTTCTCAATGTTTTGACTAACGCGTACCACCCAAACAAAAATTGAAAAACTTTAGTACCATCACGACATTTTGTAATAATTATTTTTTAATTTCTCAATAGAAATATTAAAAAGAATGCATATATTTTGCCATTTGTACAACCTATTGGCTATTTCTATTAAATATGCACACATAAAAAATATTAGATTAAAAATTGGTTACCATTTTAATTATGAAAATTTAAGTTATATTACTTTAATTTTAAAATTCAGAATGAAATTTGGGCCTGCTCAAGACAGGTCAGTTTCTTTATGTCTGGTCTTATATGTTATTAGCTTCAACCGTAAAGTAGAATCCACTTTTAATTTCATTCCGCATTTATTTTTCAAATAAAACAAGGAGGAAAATTAACAAATGTGTTATTTTTGAAATCTTCAGTTAGAGTGCGATTACAGGAAATTTCTATCAATTGTTCTTTTTTCTTCATGAGATTTTTTAATTTAATAGTTAAAAATACTTTGTTTCTTTGTGTACCACTACTTTTCTCTTGCGGACCACCGGACAACCTTACGTACAGAGTGACAAGCATTTTTTCGACAGGGAAAATATTTTCTTTCATGAGAATAAATCGAGTGATACAAATTCCGCAGTATCTATTTCGTATTGTTGCGTGCATAGGCATAGGGGTTGGTAATAATAATGCACAAGTCCGATGGAAAGTGAATAAAATTTATTATTATCGCAACAAATAAAACAAAAATGCTTAAATTTTCTCATATTCGTACAATATTGCAATATCTCACAGTAGTTATCTTTTAAACTACTAAAACGTTCTAGAGAACTTAATTCAAAACAGAGGACCGTAGAGAAAGCTAATCCGATCTCGCCGCGAATTCTCTAAAGTCAATAACAACAATTTTCCAAATAACTCGTAAAACAACTGAACTGAGATGTTCTCTCTCTGGCTTTTATAGCTTTTTAAATCGGCCGCACGAGATTGTTCTAGCAATTTCTCGAAAGCAAAAAGAGTAGAATTACGGTTACGGCTAGTCAAATAACATTTACTCGAATTAAATATAAATTAAAAGAGATATTTAGTTATTAAATGTTAAATGTACGAGTTCTTGTATTTTTAATTTTCGGCTCAGCTTTCTCTTAATATTCGTCACGCATTGCACTGCACGAGGAATAAAATAATTTAATTTATAATTATTTTAGCATTAGCTATTTAAATGCCAAATCCGTAATGAACAGTATGAAAGGCAATTAACTGATTAGATTTTCGAAGATAAGCCTCCAAAAGTGATGTGTCAAGCATAATGAATTTCATCGCATATGAGCTTTGGCAAAATGGGAAAGGTTATCAAAAGCATTAAGAATATCTGTTTTGAAATCATCATCTGATTTCGGGCCCCGTGATATATCTTATTTTTTTTTTATACTTGTCAGGGGGAACAAATAAGTAAACGGATCCGGAGGATATTGAGGTGCAAGCTGTCGGGACAGCGATTTGATTAGCCTATGAGTTAACTTTTGTTCTGAATGTCGAATAGATCGTATTAATAACAAGCTCTGCTTTGTGAGGGACACTCCGTCTTGATGAAACCAATCATCTACCATACCTAATTCTTGAATCTTTCGTTTCTTTGGTAAAATTAATTTCTAAGAAGAACTCGGATCAAACGTAAATCACACTTTCTTCGATAAAAAGTGGACTGAGGGCCACTTAACCTAGCGAGTCAGACCAAATTGCGATTACTTGAAGGTATTTGGAGTATATCATGCATTTTCGTTATGCCGTCCCTCCGAAGACAGTCATTTTTAAAACCTTATCAACCGTTTGCTTTCATTTCAAGCAGATACTAGTAGTGATGGGCAACTTCGGTACATTCATGCACCCGGTACGAGAGTAACGGGTACAGACAAGTACCCGGTACAAAATACCCGCTACTCAAGTAACCGTTACTTTGAAAAGTACCGAAAACCCAAGTAACGATTTGGAGTACCGAAGTAACGAAATACCGGAGTAACGGTTTGCTGTACCGGAGTACCCTAGTAACGGTTTACTGTACCGGAGTACCCGAGTAACGATTTGGAGTACCGAAGTACCCTAGTAACGATTTGGAGTACCAATGTACCCTAGTAACGATTTGGAGTACCGAAGTGCACTAGTAACGATTTGGAGTACCAAAATACGCAGCTAACGATTTTGCGCACTGAATTAACTCTGCCACGTCACCACGTGTTTGATTTATCTGTACGGAGTAAGATTTTGAATATCAGAAAACATGTCAACTACGGAAGTGTCTGAAGAGCAGACCATTCATGGACACAAGGAGCGCATATCACCATTTCGCAAATACAACCAGATACTACTGTCCTCGTACCAAAACCGAAGTGAGCTGAACCCTCATCGATCGTCCAGTAACAAATACCGAAATACCGAGAAGAGACGCATATTTTCGTTACAAGGTAACGAATACGGAAAAGCACCCCTTTCAGTACGGAAGTAACGAATACCGAAAAGTACCCGTTTTCGGTACAGAAGTAACGAATACCGAAAAGTATCCGTTTCGGTACAGAAGTAACGAATACCCGAAAAGTACCGATTTCGGTACTGAAGTAACGGATACTTGGATGTACCGATTTTCAGTACCCGTTACAACTAAGTACGCGTTACAAAATACCCGGTTCGGTAGTACCGACTCATCACTAGATACTACAGAAGTTATATCTTTCTATCATTTGCTGCCTTCCTTAAGTAAATATTTTTGCCTCATCAAAAAATAATTGTCACCCTGCATATACATGTAGTAATCTGTTACTAAGATAAAAGTTTATATTTTAATAAGTACGAAATTTCTTGCAAGATTTTTAAAATTAGATTATACAGGGAAATTGTCAATTTAGAGTAAAAATAGCCTTTGTCAAAGAAAAAAAAAGTGTTCCAAAGGAATTTATTGAAACATAATTTTAAATGATTCTAAAAACTGGAACTATCTCATCAAAATCAGAGAATCTGCTTATGAGTTTTTTTTTTTTTTTTTTTTTAGTCCAATGTTTATGAAATTAGTCCTAGAAGTAATTAGTAATTTCGTTTTGGCATTTTGCGTTGATTCACTGCAAGCGCTGTTTCACTTTTCAAATTGTTGCCACGAAATATTATACATTAATTCAAATTATACATTATGATACATTAATTCTCCATTTGTTTAAGAGTCAACTATTATAGTTAGAAAACTTACTTAGTAGTTATTTATACCAGGTACTTGTGTCTGGGTAAGGAAAGAATATTTCATTAACCGAATGAAACAGAATCATTTTTTATATCACTGTATATTTAACTCTACATAAATACATATTGCTTCTGATTTGAAACGATGTACATAGCGCAGTTTATATGCGAATCAAAATATCTGATCGGAAAACATGCAGGTTTTAGAGAAAAAGAAATAAAAGTTAACTTCAAACGTTAAATTATAGTATTTATACGAAGTACGATATCATATAAGATTCCCTTATATATACAAGATCTTTCTTATTTCTTATCATCTCGTATAAGATCCTCCTTATATTCCAGGATAATAATCAAGGAGTAGTTTAATCGACTTGCTATGTCTTGAATACTCAGTGCTTGACAAAAAGAAAAAGTCAAAAATAAAAGATGGAAATGATACATCTATATTAATATATTTAATATATATATATATATATATATATATAATGATACATTTATGTAATACATTAATGATATATTTATTAAAGTATATAAATAAGCTATAAATGTGTAGCGTGATAACTTAAAGAGGTTATTAGTTCAAAGTGGCTTCCTCCGTGGGAGACGACTGTTTTCGTTTTGCGATTTTGCGTCGAATCACTCTGAATGTCCGTTTCACTTTTCAAACTGTTACCACCAAATATTATCGCCCTGTACTACATTTAAAGAAATTAAATAACGAAGAATCTGCCTAAATGTATGTATGTTTCTCGCACTGTGATAAAACAACGGTACTTAGAGCCATTAAACTTTGAATAACTTAATCCTCCTGCGAATATGGGCATCTGTAAGCCCTAATTTGAAATTTGTTTTATTATTCATTTCATATTTTGTAAAACTTTAACCGAATTTTTGATTAACAAACTCACGGATTTCAAAGCGAGCAATGGCAACTTTGTACAGAAAAAACATTTTTATTTCTAGCGCGAGAGACTGTGTATCGGAAATTCTAAAGATATGTCTATTTTAAAATTATTTTGCTATATTGCTCTTCAACTGAATTTTATGGTTTAAGTGAGAAGAACATGATATTTCATAACTAAAGGTAACACACAAAATGTTAGAAAAACGCCCTGTTGGACGTAATTTAAAATCTGAAACCTTTCAGATATTTTTTTCTTCTTCTTCTTTTTTTTTTTTTTTTTTTTTTTATTTGAAGACTTTTTTTTTTTTTTTTTTTTTCTGATTTAGGAAGAGAAATAAGTCTGGACTAAAAGTAAGTAATAATAATAAGAAGAAGAAGCATAAATAAAATAAAAAAAGAAACTACATTAATAAAGATTAAACGTCAACAGAAGGTGTTTGCTTTACTTATTGAATTTCAAGAAATGAATGTATTGAATGTTTGAAACTAATGCAAGAACTCTGAGCGACAACAGCGAACAAATATTCCAGCTCGTTCTCTTCAGTTCATATACTGCCAAAAACTGACACCACCTACGCTATCCCGTTAATAAATACCGCGAAAATAAAGAGCATATTATATGCTTATCACTGTTGCTTTTTATTTTCTTCAATGCTTCCGTCCGTTATTAAGGATCAAGGCAAAAGAACAGATAAGGAGATGACTTCTGTCCTGTGAGATCTGAACCCCCACCTCAAACAAAAATGAACTCGCCTAAGGCTATAAGTGTTCTGCCGACGGAGCGCGATTTTCAGAGCAGTCAAAAATGCACGTGTGTTGGAGGAGGCCTGCCCCAGTGGAAATATTCCTGACTTTCTTACTGTTCTTACTAGGAACAGTGGGGGGTGAGGTTTTGAATCCCCCATATTTTAACTTGGCGGAAGGGCGAAGAATAGAAGCAAGTGCAACATGCGGGGAAGGCGTTGATGAACCCGAATTGTACTGTAAATTGGTCGGAGCCAACACCGATAGGCAGGACAACCCGAACATCAACTTAATCTACGGTCAAGTTTGCGACTTTTGTGACCCAAATGACCCGAAAAGAGCTTACCCCCCGTCAAACGCAATTGATGGCACCGAAAATCGGTGGCAAAGTCCCCCCCTTTCCAGGGGTAAACAATACAATCAAGTGAATCTGACGATCCATTTGGGCCAGGTAGGTTAGACTTTTCATTTTTTTTTATTATAATATTTTTATTAAGTATATATATGTTTATCCTTTATTTCTCATTGCAGTAATGAAGAGCTCGCCTTGACATTTCTCATAAAACTAACATCTTTCTCGAGTAGCTTTACATTCTCGAGTAGTTTTATATTTAAACATAATATTTATTCACGGCTACAAAAATTCCGTTTCTTTTGATCAATTTCGATTTTAATTACTTCTGCTTAAGTTTTGCTCCCGATTTAATTTATTAAAGGAGTGTTGGAAAAAAAAAAAAAAAAAAAAAAAAAAAAAAAAAAAAAAAAAAAAAAAAAAGGTGATTCCGGATTTTTGCATTTTAAAATTCTCTACACTTTTAGCTTTCTAAAAATACCATTCTTTAATCTATATGAAAATTAGAACTGTAAAAAATCTAGTTTTAATTTGTCATCGAACTGCTTTGATCGATAATTGAGGACTTTTTACATAAAAACGCGTATTTTTCTCCAAACGTAATTTTTTATATTCGATGTGTACCTTTTCTCAGGAACTACTGCTCACAAGTAATCTGAACTTTTTAATGGCTTATTTGTTCTGTTTCCTAATATTTGCTAAAATGAGCTTTCTGTGATAAACTAAGAAAAAAAAAAAAAAAAAAATTGTGTGAGAAAAGTGCTAAATTTTACTGTGCGTAAGAAAATATTCTGTAAATTACTCTAAAATTCAAAATGTTTCAAAAGCTCATTTCAGTATAATCAGATAGGTATACTTAAGTTACTCAAAAAGTTCAAGCGGGACCCTTAAGGGGTGTTGAAAACCCCTATACCGACAATGTTAAATTGGGCATTTTCGATGTACCTTTTCTCAAAATCTGCTTTAGATATACGCTTGACACTTTTTGTGTTATTAAAGTATACCTATCTCATTACACTGAAATGAGCTTTTGAAACATTTTGAATTTTAGAGTAATTTACAGAATATTAAGTTAGGCATAGTAAAATTTAGCACTTTTCTGACACAAAAAAATTTTTAAAACTTTTTTTCATAGTTTATCAAAAAAGGTTATTTCAGTAAATATTAGGGAACAGAATAAATAAGCCATAAAATTTTTAGTTACCTGTGAGCAGTAGTTCCTGAGATAATGTACATCGAATATAAAAAATCATGTTTGGAGAAAAACGCGTTTTTGTGTAAAAATCCTCATTTATCAAAGCATTCGATGACAAATTAAAATTAGATTTTTTACAGTTCTAATTTTAATAGAGATTAAAGAATGGTATTTTTAGAAAGCTAAAAGTGTAGAGAATTTGAAAAATGCAAAAAAAAAAAAAAAAAAAAAAAAAAAAAAAAAAAAAAAACCCGAAATCGCCATTTTTTACAAGAGTTACTTGAATACAATAATTAACTCACTTTTTAATTCGATTAATTAAATTCAGCTAACGTGAAATGTTAGCAACTCGTAGTATAGCAATGATTGTAATTATGAAATCTTAGATAAAGAAAGAAAATATGCTACATTAATTAATAATCCATTTCGTAAAAAGATGTGACTGTGATGGTATACATTTCATAAAGAAATAACCAAGTTATTTTTAACTTAACCATCTTTTGTAATATTATCTGTACTCATTTTTGTCTGTAAAACAGTTTTTTTAAAGAAAATAATTTATTCAGTGTAGGATAATTCAGTGTTAGTTATGTGTAAACAAGTCTAACTTCATTAATTAAAGGATAATTAATTTTGAAATATTACATCCAATAATTTGTATTCGGTGTCAAAAATTGCGTTACCTTGAATGTTGTGTTCTAAAATATAGTTATGATTTTTGTGTGCAGTTTAATTCATTCATTCAGACGAGAAGTGCTAACGGTTTTAGTAATTTAAATTTCAATTAAACAGTTGTTTGCCATCAAGAAAATTTCTCGGTATGAAGTGAGTTAAGAGAAGCTTTTCAAATTATTTTATTTTAATCAAAAGCAGAATGTCTGTATTTTGATGAAAAATTGGTATTTTTTTCAAAAAAATACCAATACCCAAAAAATTTTAGTTCAAAACTGTTAAACAAAAAGTTGAGTGATTTATAATAAAACGAAAATTTAAATTGATTTTATATGTCTATTGTTTACTTAGTAATAATTCGCATTTACCTTTTATTCAAATACTAATTGCATTAAATTAGCGTGAGAGTAAAAAAAAAAAAGGTGCTGTTTAAAATTTGCCTTTATTGATTTAAGTAAATTTCTGCAGGCTGGCTAGAGCAAGCAATGCCAAAGTCGTACAGAAAAACATTTTTATATCCAGTTCGTGAGACTGTATCGGAAATTCTAAAGATATGCTCAATTTAAAACTATTTTGCGATATTGCTCTTAAATTACATTTTATGGTTTAAGTGCGAAGAACATGATATTTAATAAATAAAGGTAGCACACAAAATGTTAAAAAAAGTCCCTTTGGACGTAATTTAAAGTCTGAAACCTTTCGTATTTTCTTTTTGTAATTGTATTAAGTATAAGACCGTACTCTTCTCCAAGAGCTGTCAAAAGAATGAGGAGTAAAGTTGTCTGAGGAGAAGATATTAATTAATAAAGAAAGTAATCAAATGTATTGTTTAATTCATATCTGCAATTAAATGAAAATAAACACGAAATTTTATTTTAAGATGTGCAAAAAAAAAATAATTTTCCTAAAGATTTTACACTACACTCAATGTAATATGTTTTGACTTTGATTACATCAGATTTAATATAACAAGAAACATGAGTTCTTCAAAAGATGCAAAATATTCAGATATTTAAACCAATCTAATTTTTCTTTTCTTTGTCCTATATATATCTAAAAGGTTTCAAATTTTAAATTACGGCCAAAGGGGAGTTTTTTAACATTTTGTGTGTTAGCTTTATTTATTAAATATCATGTTCTTCGCACGTAAACCATAAAATTCAGTTCAACAGCAATGTCGCAAAGTAATTTTAAAATGAGCATATCTTTAGAATTTCCAATACAGAGTCTCGCGCGCTGGAGATAAAAATGTATTCTTTTTTTCGTGCAGTGTTTCTTGCCAATGCTCGCTTTGAAATCGTTTAGTTTGTTAATCAAAAATGAGTTGAAGTGTTACAAATTATGAAATCGATAATAAAACAAATTTCAAATTCAAATTAGGGTTCCACATGCCTATATTCCATAGAAGATTACGTTTTTCAAATTTTGATGGCTCTAGGTACCATTGTTTTATCACAATGCGAGAAAAATTCATTCAGATTCTTCATTAATTAATTTCTTTAATACAGGGCGATAATATTTGGTGGTAACAATTTGAAAAGTGAAACAACGCTTATCGTGAATCGACGCAAAATGCGAAAACAAAATTAATAGTCCTTCTGGGCAAATTGTCCCCTTGGACTAATAAATATATTTTCAAAATTTTTTATTTAAGACTATGAAATCATTTTCACTGTAAAGCTTTCATTTTGATAATTTTTAAATTGATTCTTTTGATAGTTCTTAAAAGCCTTAAACACTTTCAAAGCTCATTATTTTCACCAACAATTTTTTTTTTTTTTTTTAAAACATACAAAAAAAAAAAAAAAAAAAAAAAAAACCGCATGTATTGACTGAATTAGGTTCACGCATGGGCTTTATGGCACCGGTTTTGATTTGGCATCTCTTGGAATAATATGTTGTAATGACTTATCTCTCTAGTCTGACGGTAACATTAGAACAAGGCAAGGAGCGAGGGGAGCAAGATTGCGCCTGTCGTTGGCAAGAGCCTTGAGCACCATACAGGTGACAGTAAAATTTTGCTGAGTTCCGCCCATAAGATCCCGTGGGGACTGGTCCGAGGGTCTTCCACACATCTTCCTCTATCATCAACTTCTCGAGAGGTCTTTCGGCTCGCCGCATATTTAGAGTGCGCGCATGCCACACAGATGCCATACGTTTACAAACATCTATGCCTTCTTTGGGAATCGAAACCCGGCCCTTCGGTACCATTTCGATCGGTGTACCTTTTCTCAAAATTTAATATAATTTTCTCAAAATTTGTAATTAAACTATACCTATCTGATTATACTGAAATGAGCTTTTGAAACATTTTGAATTTTTGAGTAATTTAAAGTATATTTTGTTAGGCATAGTAAAATTTAGCATTTTTTTCACACCAAAAAAATAATTTTTTTTTCATAGTTTATCACAAAAAGCTCGTTTCAGTAAATATAAGGAAACATAATAAATAAGCCATAAAAATTTTACATATCTGTGAGCAGTAGTTTCTGAGAAAAGCTACATCGAGTATGAAAGAAAAAAAAAAAAATCACGTTTAGAGAAAAACGTGTTTTTAAGTAAAAATCCTCGTTTATCAAAGCATTTTATAAAAAATTAAAACTAGATTTTTTACAGTTCTAATTTTCATAGAGATTAAAGAATGGTATTTTTAGAAAGTAGAAGTGTAGAGAATTTGAAAATGCAAAAATCCGAAATCACCGTTTTTTGAAGATTTTTGGCTGTATTTTAAACTATTGATTTTTCTACATAGTACGAATAGTAGTTCAGTTGCCAAAAGCTAATTTTCCTATCTTTCATTTGTTATAAATGATGTCATCTTCTTACCATATCACACAAGAAAATAAATTTTCAAAATTAAGATCCGCGTAGTTTGTTATAAATTAGTTTATATATTATGTTATAAATTAGTAGTTTGCTATAAATTAGTTGCATTTCCAAAACTACCTACTTGACGCAAGGCTTGAAATGTGTTTAAGGGACTGTAATTTTTGAAGAATATACACACTTCCAAAACTTAAGCACGGAGAGGAAAATGCTAATTTCCGGAAGCCAATCAGAATTAAAGAGGATGCAATTCGTTGCAGAGGTAGATGGAAGGATGCAAATATGTTTAACAGCCAATCGCGCTTTCATGTCAAGAAATATGCAAAAAAGGCAGTCTTATAAGAAGCCAGCTTTATGAAGGGTTACAGAAATTGATTTGCAAGTGCAGATAGAAGGTGTTTAAAAC